AGCGTCTCGGAGAACGGGGTGTACCGTTTACCACTTTCGGGCATAATGCCATGTGCGGCCGGTAGCGGCTCTCATATTTAGATGCCCGAGTCACCAAATAAAGGTGACTAGGGTAGGTCGAGGGACCCAAATATAATTCAAATCATCAAATAAAGATGGTCGGAAGACTAGAGCTCAGGTCCACCACTTTGGGGTTTTTTGACCCGCTCTAATGGCGATGATAAAAATAATAATGCCAATAATAATGCATCATTAGCGACCTCGGGAAATTTTAATCCCTCATAATGGTCTTCACCACCTCGGAGGTTTTTAACCCGCCATAATGGTGGTGGAAATAATATAATTAATAATAGTAATAATTATACTACTATCATTTAATAAATATTTGAAGTGTATAAATAGGAGTATTGGGCACTTAGCTTTTAAGTGGGCTGAATATTTGACTTTGATATATGAGCCCAGATATCTTTGACTTCAATTTATAGGCCCAACTGTCCAAGGTCCATCTGCAAAGCAGTGAGCTCCAAGCCCCGATGAAAACCCAAGAAAGGCGGAGAGTGAGACGGCTGATGTGGAACAATTGAAGTCTCCAGCTAACCGGTCGCCGGAGATGTCCTCAGCCGTCGGCGACGACGGATAGCAGCTGTCTCCGAAGAATGGGGAGCACCGGCCACTCGATTCTGCCGTTACCTTTGTTGTTGGAGATCCTTTAGGCCGTTTCTGCCGCCGGAGATAATGCTACTCTTGTCGCTATAGAGGAGGCCCTTTGGAGAATAGGTTGCCTGCGTTGTCCGACCCAAACGAGGCCACCAAGAAGCGACGCTGCGTGGCCTCCTGCTATTTTGCTTGAGGGGTTGAAGTATGGCGAGGCTAAGGGTGCTGACCGGATTCGAAGGGGAGCCGGCACTTGAGGTCGTTGACGAGGCCTATTAAATGACGGCACAGGTGACTCAACACAGCAACAGCGGAACCCAGGTCTCCACCAGCACGTCGAGTCTATCTGCAAGATCCAATTGCGGCCATGAGATCTGGGAATGGGGCAGCCAGATCGACAACAACGACGACCAAAGCTAGTGACAGCAACTTACGCCGGCAGCTACCCATCCAGCTCAGATGTGGAATTTTCCAGATTTGGAATTCCATCCTTTTCTTCTTTTCATTTTTCAGAATTGTTGTTGACTCGATTTCTTGTATTTTGGATGAAATTTTGAGTATTTTGGGAGGAATCTAACTTGATTTTGCTCAAAATCTCTCAATGAAAGCACCATTGATGGATTATAGGGTATCCAAAGTATATTAAAATGGAGAGATTGAGCTAGATAATTGGAGAAGATGAATAGTAAGGATGATATTGTGTATGAATTATGAGTTAGGAAAAGTTAGGTTTACAAATGGCTCCAAGAGGAGTATAAATAGGGAAATAATGGGTCGGGCCGCTAATATGGGCCCGGTAGCCCAACTACATAAAAGACTAATCTAGTACATAGTTACATACAAATGACATATAAGCAGTACAATAATACAAGTGATATCCGTAAGATGTGTGTGGGCCGCTGTCCGGGCCCAATAGTCGTGAGACCCGGGGGTTCGAGTCTATATACTCTATCACCTCGTCCTTTAAAACTTTGTCAACTTTTCTTTTTTGGATGTCCCACTAACTTTGCTACTTTCTCATTTAAGTAAAGAATTTGTGATTCCAGTTGATTCTCTCTCATCTGCACAAACCTCAACCACACATTTTTTACTTTATTAATCCACGTATCGGTCAAACATGACAAAGTTTTAAGGAGCGGGTGGAATATTGTATTCTCTATAATTTGCATATGTCACATCTGATATAATGTTAGGTCAATCAAGAAAACAATCTAGAAAATAACTTTATATTGACAATAAAGTTAAGTTTATAAAAATGCAGCTTAAGTAATTTTTTTGACTAAATACTCTTGGTTCACTGAAGCTCGATTCGCAATATATTGGCTCTTCAAATGATCCTAAGTTATTTTTACTTTAATCATTAGTTATCTACCCACTATGTTTCTTTGTATAATTTCTTTATCATTGTTCCAAAAAAGGTGGAATCTCCCACCCCAGGAGCCCCACTCCGACCCGACAGGATGGTGGGAGGTTAGTCACGATGACTCAGTCAGCAGAATGGCAGTAGGCCTATACACCCATGCGCACCAGAGGCTCAGCCTTATTTCAGGTTTTGTGACCTCCACCCGGTCGCTGCGGGGATTCGAACTTTGGTCCATTGCTCCAAATCTCCCACCACTCGACCAACTGAGTTACCTGTGCGGGTATAATTTCTTTATCATTGCTTTGCTTCAATGCTGTCTTTGTATATTATTGTAATCTTACTCATCCCAACAAAACCATGTTGTATGTTCTCTTTTTTCCTTTATATTTGCATTTTCCTAATTGTGCTGAAATAAGCAAAATGTAAGTTATGTGTTTGCAGGATTTCTAATGGTGGGACAGCCTCATGATATTCCGATATGTCCCCTCTTCCTATTCTCTACCCCCTTCAATTCCAATAACCCCTAATACATTTATTTTATTAATAAGAAAATTATCTTTATAATAAAAATATAAAAATAATAAAAACATTTATAAATTAATAATAAAAAGTAGAACAAATTATATCAAATAAAAATAAACAAAAAATAAGAAAATTAAATAAAAAGTAAAAATATTTAAAAAAAACAAACCTAAAAATATCAAAACATGTGTATGTCTCTCCCGCTGCATCGTCTACATCCCAACACTACTAGCTCCGATCAACGGAAAAAATGTTATCTTGTGTAAAAATGTCATGTTCCTTTGAAAATGTCATGGTATTTTTACTCTTTAAAATGTCATGGTATTTTTACTCTTTGAAAATATCCAACTTTGCTTTCATAATTTCCATCACGATGACCGGGGGTGGTGGTGCTGGAAGATGTTCATGGCAGAAGTGGTGGTTAATGAATGTATATTTTTTAGTTATTTTTTGCTTTTTTGTCAATTTGATTTTTTATGTTATAAGGAGATTATTGAAAAGAAAATTTTGATATCAAGAATCAAATCCAGACTATTTTAGATTGTAGTTGAAATACATTTAATGCTTGTCTTAAATAACTAATAATTTGAGTACATATCATTGTTGATGAAGAGTTTAATTTATTGGGTGAATGTGATGTCCAATGGTGTGTAAGAGAAAAATAATTTATTTAAAAAGTAAGAAACGCATTTCTTACATAAACGCAGTTTTCGGGGGCTCCAAGTTCAACAGGATAATTTCATACAAAACCAAGTTCATTACTTCGGATAATTGCATGCATGCTAACGGAGAACCTGAATACACCACTAAAAATTTACAAGAAATCTCAGAAGAACAAAAGACGTCTTAGTAAGAGAACTAGATCTCAATCCAAAAGGCTTTATGTGGGAATAGTTTGTTATTTTCAATTTCTTTTTTTTTTAATGTTTTTAATTTTCCTTCGCATTGTCCTCTTATCTTATCAATAAAATTCACCTTTGTTCACCTTTGTTCACCTTTGGTGTTCAAAAACAAAAAGAAACGCAAACGCTCTAAAAAGACAAATTTAATTTTTTTAATTTTAAAGGAATCAGGCAAGGCTGAAATATATATTTGTATAACAAACAAGTCTAATCAACATAATAATTTCTCGTCATTATTATATATTATAATTTTAAATCACTAAAAAAACTATGGGATTGACAGGGATTTTGGTAGGGATTTTGGTAGGGATTTTGGCAGGAATTTGGCAGGGATATGCCAAATCCGTGCCAAAAACACTTTGGCACGAGCTATTTGGCATCAAAAATCGGTATGTCCGTACCAAATTTCATGTCAATCCCGTAATTATTTTGCGGTGAATAAACAATGATGATGATTCAAATTAACTTTGATCAAGCAATAACGTTTTTTATATCTTCATGTAAACTTTACGTATGTAACAAGATATTTAAAGTGCTCATTTGCTAACTAAATAAGATTCAGAGAATGAAATTAGTTTGTTGATTGAATTTGTTGAAAGCGGTGTTTATTATTACCAACTTTCTTTAATTTATTAATCATATAAACTTTAAATATGGAGCATAATTTTTCATATTTCAGCAACGTGATATTAATAAATTAATTAAGTGTGTAAATAGTTAACGAAGACTAGAATAACTATGTGATCCGTTTTGTCTGGATTGAAATTATGCTAAATTTTGAAAATTACCTGTAAGATCTCGAGGTACCAAAATTAGGAAACGGAATAAGACCCATTATATTTGATCTGAGTCGGTTTTTGGTAACCCGATTCGGTCTGAATATCATAGGACCAGTTAAAGCCTGAACAATAAATCATCCCAAATACAAATCATTATTTATGATTTATTATATTTTAGCACAAACAATTGTCCCCAAAATCGCCACAAATTCAAATTCAAATCACATTAATTTTAGGGACCGTTAGTGAGTCCGTATTCGGTTCGGTCCGTATTCGATTCGGTTTAATTAATTTTGTGTTTAAGATACATATAAATAAATAATGTTACCATGCATATTATATTGAATTTATATTAAAGGAAATCATATAATGTTTTGACCAGCCAGGTCCATATTATAGATTTTAGGGACCGATAGATTTTAGGGACCGTTAGTGAGTCTGTATTCGGTTCGGTCTGGATATTTTTTACCGGGCCATCAAAAAAGAAAGTAATCCAGACTGGTGGCATCTTTCAGATCACGTCAAAGTTTGTTTCCGAGTTCGGGTTTGGTTTTTCCAACCCCCGGTTACAATTGTGGCTGAATTTTCTAAATGTATTAATATTAACTTTTCTTTATTTATACAATATATTTTACGGAGCATATTTTCTTTTTATAATTATAAACAATTATAATAAATTAATTCAGTGGTAATATGTAGGAGTAGTATATAATAGAAATATGAGTAATATATAATACGAAGTGCTCCGTAAGTCGGCATCAAATAGGGAGTAGGATTAGTTCATAATACAGTGTAGGATTAGTTCGCAGATGCCCTACTTACTGGTTACTTCCTATTTGTGTAGCAATAATTAAGAAACCCAATACAGACAGGATCATAAGATCATAGAATTAGGAAACTTTAAATTTTATATAAGAAGATCGACCTCCCTCCCTCCTGTCTTCCATCCCATATTCATCTGCGTTATTCCATCATCTCCTGAATCACTTTAAGTCTTAATTAGCTTCTTCCCTTCCTTAGCTTCTTCGGAAAACACAAAGACACATATGGCTATGAGTCTGAACTGTGGGTTGATCAGTTCTTTAGAGAAGGAACTAGACGAGTGGCGGAACAGATTACAGGACTCTTTCTCTCCGGAACACATTTTGGTATTTGACAAATGTAAGTAGTGTCTTCCTTTCTCCAATTTTCTTGAGTTCTATTATATTATTATGATTCAACCATTTTAAGTTTCGTATAGTTTTTATTTCATTTATTTGTTGGTCTTGTTTATTTAGTTCCAGAAAACAACAACATCGAATGGAATGAGTTTGTCGGAGGACCCTATAGTTGCCGTTCACGTTATAATTGTAATAATATTGCAAGGAACAACAACTACGAATGCGAGTGCTTCTCAAGAGTGAATGGTTCAAAGGACGTGTTTGTACGCATGGCTAAAACGCGTGAAGGGTCCGTTGAACTTCAAAATCTGATAAAGAATGGGAATCCAAGAGACAGACAAGAAGTTCTTGATGGGGTTATTAGGTGCATATTTGAGGTGATGATAGATCCACATGGCCACCATCTCTTCCGAAGAATTCTTGAGTTTTGTGATTCTAGTCAGTTGGACACCATCTTTGTCACCCTGATATCTTCCCAGGAGTTGCTTATCAACACGTCTCTTTTGCAATACGGGTAAAAAGAATTATTAAATCCATGCATAGTTGTCTTGATAATGATTTTGAAATGTTTTACTGTTTTGTTACAATCAATGTATTACTAATCATTAAGTTCATATCACATTAATGCTATGATAGGTCAAGTGCGGTTCAAAGATTTATCAAGAGACTTAAAAACACTGGGTTGGGGCAATTCGTTGCAATCATCCTTTCGATGAGATTTGTCGAGTTGATGACTAGCGAGCATGGTAGATTTGTAGTTCAAGAGTGCTTTTACACTTTCCAGGCTAAAGAAAACGAGGTTTTTGGCTCAACTTAAATCTTACTATATTCATACTTTTTACATTATTAATTATATGTTATTATATATCCCTGCATAAAACAATAATGATTGGTTGGAGATCCAACACGGGATATATTATGGACTTTGATTGTTGAGTCTACTTTCATTTAACAAGTATTGCTATAAGCTTATAAAGTGATACTATTTCAAAATAATACATACAAATGATAGATTTGTATATTAATTTACAACGTCTTAGTCGTTTTTTATCACATTGTATGTACTTGGTATAATAAAGTGGACGCTTGTGCTATATGAATTCCGTTAATCTAGTGATTAGAACACCAGATAAAATACAGTTTAGAAATTAGAATGAAATATGACCTCATCCTCCATAATATATCATACCGGATCAGAGTACTATTCTCAAGAATTAGAGTTTATTTCCTTGGAAAAATTAAATTAAAATAATTCAAACATTATAGACCTTGTAATAGTATGTTATCTCACTACAATTTCTCAACTTATTGACATAGGTTTTATTCACTTGTGCAATCACTTACTTGAAAGAGGTGGCAACAACACAATACGGATGTTCATCGTTGAATGTTTGCTTGAATTGTATTAGTGGTGTCCAAAGACAACTATTGCTCAAAAGTATTGCAGAAAAATCTGATTTCTTAGCCAGTGATCCGTATGGGTATGTACTTTTTCACTCTTCAACTGTGAATCTAAATATGATATCACAACTTTCTCACTCTTTAACTAACCAAACTTAATTTTACCTCTCTTCAAATAGGAATTATGTTGTCCAGGAAGTTCTAATGCTTAGAAACGATGAGATCACACAAAAAATATGTGACCACCTCAAGAGGGATTACCTACGCTTAGCTTTTAAAAGAAGTGGAAGTCGCGTTGTCGAAAAATGCATACAAGCTTCAGAGTATGGACTGGGTTCGGTAGTTGAGAGCCTTCTCAGCAGTGAAAAGAGCTTAGTGCTACTTACCCGTGATCGATTTGGAAATTATGTTATCCAAACAGCTCTTCAGTCCGCAAAGGTAAATAAAACTCATCTTATAAATAATCTAAAATATAATGCATTATATATCTATTGCTACTAATCTTGTTATGCATTTTGCTTTTTCTGCATGCAGACAAGTAATATCAAGCATTATGAATCTCTTGTCACTGTCCTTAGGGCGCAACGCTCGGCTCTTTCTCATACCAAACTTGGGAAGCATATATTGAATCGCATAGAAGATTTGTAGAACAATGTGGAAAATGACTGATCTGATTTATTTAATCAGTTCGTACTTATTGAAATACAAGCCCAAACTCTGTTTGGAAAGTAACATTATTAATAGTATTCGAATATTAAGTAGTTTAATTTTATTATGTTTAAATATGCACATTTGTGTGTTATGGAGATGAGTTAAATAAATAGCTTATTCTAATGACTTTATATCTCCTTTCAATACATTCCTACTATTTTTCTTGCACTCCTCCGTCCTCATTTTTCATTATTCATCATTCATAAATTTTTACTCCTTTGAGTTACTAATCGTTGCTATTATTCTGTATCCAGTCGGGAATCACCCTCAGTTTCATTATGTTTTTATTTGATGTTAAATGTGAGTTCTAAATAGCGGTTTAATGTCTAAATAATTTCAATCTTTAAACCAAAATACCTAAAAATGCAATTGCTATATTGTACGTAGTAGATTTCTTTCCCTTTCACTAGGGGACTTATCATTGATTTTAAAAAACTAGAATGCTGGGAATTGGGAAATGATAAAATGGCTAGTGACCAAAACTGGAACAAAGACAACTAAAAGGTCCCCCGTCCACTACATGAATCGATTATCAGTACAGATATGGAATACTCCACTGATTGTACTAGCAAGTAGAGATCCTACTACAAACAAAAACAAAAACATAAAAACTTGTTCTATCTGGCTCGCTACTGGTAACAGACTAACAGACAGCGCGGTCTTGAGATGACAACAATCCAGGTCTAACCAGCTACCTCAACGGTGGTCAACCGTAGCCAAGATCAGGATTTCCGGGCAAAGGTCCATACTAGTTTTGTTCAAGTCTTTAACCTATTCAAAATAATAAACAAGACCAATAACATTTTGGAGCCAAAACAGCAAGTGGTTCGGCTTGGTCCAAGTACCGGCTCCTCTGTTTGAGAAACACATCAACGGGTCTTCTACCTCAGTACCTCACTGGTTCCATACGGTTTTAGTTCTGAAACTAAGTGTGCCCATACCCCTAGATACAAAACTGAACCTAGAGCTTAATAATGAATAGAGTATTTCACAAGAATCATCACCATAAAAGAAAACAAAATTGCAGAAAGTAAACAGATGATTAGCAACATATCAGAATTTATATATACATTAGAATGTACCACCACCACGACATCCAACTACTATGGTGAGAGATTCAATCAAAGCTTTGAAAGTCCACAAGGCTTCCTAACTTTTTGCAGGCTCAGATGTTATCTACATAATATATTATCTACCACTAGATGACCCCGCGAATTCCTCTCTATAACCTAAAGTTACAACTTACAATCCCTAGAAAAATAAATCAGGAGGAAGAGGAAGAGGAAATCGCATTTAGTATATACTACTACTACTACTATTACTAATATAATAAGAGTGATAATATTACTGAAGTAAACGTCTCTGATGCTCCCTTTTGTTAGTGTAGGATACAAAGGGCTGCTTCCATTTATAACAACTTCCAAACTTATTTGCACATAGCCCTCAGCCGCTTGGCAGCCTTCACAAATCCCACAATCACTTGCAATTCATCCAATTGCTTCACCCACAAAGAGATTAGTTGTAAGTGAATTGAGCATAAGAATTGGAGCAAGCATCATATAAGGCCGGGATGTTTAAATTTCATTTTAGGCAAAAAAATACTTAAAAGCTCTGATAAAACGCCTCTATTATCTTCAATGGGCCTTTTAAGAGCCAAAAGTTTGCTTATTCTGCTAATTAGCAGAATAAGTAATTTTTGACTACCAAAGGGCCTGTTAAAGATAACTTCTGGAGTAATTGCTTTCATATCATCATATGTTACAACCTTTACGGATCATGCTTTTAACTAGCATTAAAATGTACAGAGTAAAACAATTATCATCTTAAAATTTCCTTTCAACATTGTCCTGCCAAATACTACTTTTTGAAGTAAAAGATCCTTTCACATGCATTTATATCTTGAAATTAAGGTATTCCATTATCCTGTTAGCCAGAAGAAATTGAGGAAGCACCTGGGACATAAAATGCCTCTGGACAACATCAATTAATTGTTCTTTTGATGGGTTTGGTCGGACAACCACCTAAGCACAAAAGGTAGTAGTAACCAAGGGGATATTTTACATATAACTTGTGAAAGAACCAAACACAAAATATCAATATATCCGAACAAAGAACAGTAAATAAATCTACTCACTAGATTAAAGTGCTGCAAATATCTCCATAGAGCAGTCATCTCAAGCTTGCTTAAATCCACTTTCTGCACAACACATAAATAAATAACTAGATAATAAAATTAATAATTGAATGTATTGCAAATTCCTCAAACGAGATTATCTAAAGTAAGAAACAGCCATACCGTGGACCTCCTATGAGCCAAAACAGAACCTTTAGACTGAACATCAAACGATAGAGAACGACCAATTGTCTTGGGGGCTAGCCCTGATGACTTGTGCATCCTCTGCCTTGATCTATATGACTTTTGGGTGTCATCAGAGGCTTTTTTACATAAAAATTACCATGAACACAAAATCAGATTAAATATGAATAATTTACCCTCTCCATTAATTGAAATAGAGAACGTATTGTCAAAAAAGTTACTTACCTAGATCTGATCCGTTCCAGTGAAAATTTTCAAATTCAAGATCATCGTCATCCTCATTGCCAGTTGGAGCTTCAAGCACACTTAATGCATTTCTTTGAAGCTTTACCTCTATTCCATTTGTAAGTACCTGTGCAATTAAATGAACACAAAAATAGTCAACACACAGTACAAGCACTTATTTTTTTTTCCTTTTTTTGGTAATTACCATTTGGACTTGAATACTCTATGGACCTACAAGTTTCAGAAGCCAGTAAAAGCATTTGATTTTGAATATGCTAGAGTGGACAAAAAAGTGGATACATATTAAATATGATGAATAATTATAGGGTTCCTTAAAAATATATAGAAAACCTATTGCCTTCGTTTCCACAAAATTTACATTTAAAGGAATCATTTTTACAGAAATAAAGCCATTAACTTGCTAAAATTAAAAATAATTAGGCATTATTATGAACATCAAATTAACCATTTCAGAAAAGGCATTAAAGACGACGGTGGTAAAAGTGATTGGCAATTTCAGAAAAAGCGCATTACAGAAAAAGAATCTCCTTGACCGCTTTTCCCGGCCCTTTTGTTAAATCCTAAAGTAAATAATAATCATTATCGAAATTAAAGACCAAGTTCAAAATGCGGCAATGAGAATGAAGACTTAATAATAATAACTTCATAACTCCAAAATCAAGAAATACTACTCCAACTCTAAACATTAATCAAAATCAAATTCCAGAAAAGCTAAACCCAATTGATCAAAAAACAACCCACTATTCTAAAACACAAAAAAGATTCAGGCTTTAAATGTTAAATCACCAGCCAATGCCATCCTCCAAGACCAACAGCTTTCTTGACCACACCCTGAAGACCCACAAGAACAGACTTTGTACGGTTGTTTCCGGTGACGACCACCTTGGTGTGACGAGGTAACACTGAGAGCTCCTCCTCGCTGCTGTCCCCACAGCTCTGCAACTGCGAGAACCCACCAACACCATGCACTGAGCTACTCTCCACTGCCTCATGCATCATTTTTCCCAGCCCAACTCAGCGGGTCAACTCGGCAACTCCCCTGAACTAAAGATTTCAGCCAGAAAAACAGCGCATTGCAGGCGGTTCCGGGAAAAGAATGCTGGGGGGAATTGGGGATTTCTAGAGTGAGAAATCAAAACAGAGAGGGAGAGAAAGAGAGAGAGTGTGAGTGTGCTTTTTCAGCGTTCTTTCTGGTCTTTCTTCAAAACCATTCATGATGGTTTCTCTGCAGTAGGGTACGAATCCCAAGGATAGAAGTGGGCCAATGGTGACTCAACACGTATAGAGAGCAGGTCAATCATGCGTTACAGTTGGAGCTTGTTTCTCGGGCATGATGCAATTGCCCACTTTCTTCTATCCGGGTTTGGGGGGAGGGAATCGGGTGCCCGTTTTTACTGGCGAGGAACTGGACCGGGGACGGGTTTAGGTGACGCTAAATGACTGGGTTGTCCCTGGACTCGTTGCATGAAATGAACGGCATCTTTGGGAACTAAGCAGGGGCATATGGGTAAATAAAATGAGAGGAACGTAAAACGACATACGTTACGAGTGAGAAAATGTCACAAATCCGGGGAATACGCAGACGACCCAAGGAGGACCATGAAGCATGAGCGATACCTGCCGGTGGCCCTACGGGCCCACAGTCAAATGATTTAGAATACGAGTACTGTTTTCCATTCATTATCTATTCACTTTTAAGACTTTTGTGTACAATTTTGAATTTTTCAACAAGTGGCTTTTTTATTTACTCCCCTCATTTCAAACAATTCTTTCAATTTCACTTGGCATGCCTATTGAAAAGTAGGAGTATGAATTAACAAAAATTCACTTTTTTATACACATGGGTACACCTCGTGTTTGTGAGAGTTATTTTTGTCTGTGAATCCCAGTCCACAAACAAAAAGTGGTTTGTTTGATCTATAGATTTTTTCACAGACAAAACAAACAAGTTTTTGTCTGTGTACTGAGATTCACAGACAAAAAAAAATCTCACAGACACGGATGTACTAATGTGTATCAGAAGGTGTACACCAAGAATTGTTCGATGAATTAATAAGAATGGTAAACCGGTGATGGAGTATGAAAAAAGTATTTAAATCTTAGTCATACCAATCTATTTATAGGGAAAAAAATAGAAGATTTTTTGGCACAACTTAAAATAATAAGCGAAAGCAAAATGAAACGGAAGGAATATATTTAATGAATTCCAAGAAAACTTTTAGTTCGAACAATGTAATATTATGTTAGCTAACTAGTTACTCCACCTGTGCGCTGCACCGGAGTGAGACACTTTCACAATAATTTAGATACTGTTAGATATTTAAAAATATTTAAAAAAAATGATTGTGTTAGAATTATTTGAAAACGTTATATAAATTCTGAATAAATGGTAAGAACTAAATGTAAAACATCACACGATGAAATGGATGCGCATTTAATTCCACCGCATTATAACGAAAATTATAATTTACTCTAAAGTACATATTTCTTTGTAAACAACATTCAATGTTGATTTGGTTAGTTTTCCATCTTCGTCATTACAAACTCCAATCCCATGAACTTGTTACTCTCCGCACCGCCACGTACAAATGTTTGTGAGTAATAATGGGGATTCGGAGTAAGATAACAAATTTTTTCAACGATTGTCCATGACTCTTATTACTGGTCATTGCAAACCTAACAATTTTAGACGGAGAATGCTTAGGCGGAAAAATTTTATCTCTCCAATATAGTGCTTTTAGGTATAGGATGAAATTATATTTTAGGATTTTAGGATGATTTTTTTGTGTGGAAAGTGTAATTGCATTTTAGGATTTTAGGCGGCTAATGCTTAGGCGGGAGAATTTTTTTCTCTCCAGTATAGTGGTTTTATGTATAGGATGATTTTTTTGCGGAAAGTGAAATAACATATTAGGATTTTAGGCGGAGAATGCTTAGGCGGAAGAATTTTATCTCTCCAGTGTGGTGCTTTTAGATATATATAGGATGATGATGATTTTTTTTTTTGCGGAAAGAGAAATTACATTTTATTATATTTTAGGCGGAGAATGCTTCGGCGGGAGAATTTTTCTCTCCAATGTAGTGCTTTTAGGTATAGGATGATGATTTTTGGGGGGGGAAAGTGAAATTATATTTTAGGATTTTAGGAATGCTTAAGCGGGGGAATTTTCTCTCTCCAGTGTAGTGCTTTTAGGTATACGATGCTTTTTTTTGCAGAAAGTGAAATTAGATTTTAAGATTTTTGGCGGAGAATGCTTAGGCGGGAAAATTTTCTCTCTCCAGTGTAGTGCTTTTAGGTTTGGGATGAAATTAGATTTTAGATTTTAGGCGGAGAATGCTTAGGCGTGAGAATTTTCTCTCTCCACTGTAGTGCTTTTAGTTATAGGATGATGATATTTTTTTGCGGAAAGTGAAATTATATTTTTGGATTTTTGGCGGAGAATGCTTAGGCGGGACAATTTTCTCTCTCCAATGTAGTGCTTTTAGGTATAGGATGATTTTTTTTGTAAAAGTGAAATTATATTTTAGGATCTTATTAGGCGGAGAATGCTTAGGCGGGAAAATTTTCTCTCCCCACTGTAGTGCTTTTAGATATATGATGATGATTAGGTATATGACGATGATGGTGATGATGATGATGATATTAATTTTTGTGGAAAGTGAAATTACATTTCAGGATTTTAGGGAGAGAATGCTTAGGCGGGAAAATTTTCTCTCTCCGGTGTAGTTCTTTTAAGTATAATATATGATAAATGATAAATGATGAAATTATATTTTAGGATTTTAGGATTATAGGATGATGATTTTTTTGTGTAAAGTGTAATTACATTTTAGGGTTTTAGGCGGAGAATGCTTAGGTGGGAGAATTTTCTCTCTCCACTGTAGTACTTTTATGTATAGGATGATGTTTTTTTTTTTGCGGAAAGTGAAATTAAATTTTAAGATTTTAGGCAGAGAATGCTTAGACGGGATAATTTTCTCTCTCCAGTGTAGTCTTTTACATATAGGATGATGATTTTTTTTTGCGGAAAGTAAAATTACATTTTTGGATTTTTGGCGGAGAATGCTTAGGCGGAACAATTTTCTCTCTCCAATGTAGTTGATAGACTATAGGTCTAGAGAGAAGTGAGAGCTAGAGAGAGAAGTAGTATATTTGCTTTGTATTAATGAATTCGGAACCCTTTACACGACTCACAAGGGGAGTATTTATAGAGGAAATTAGGGTCGGGCTCCCAAGTCTTGGGCTTGGGAGGCCCATTTACAATAGGGCCACTATTGGGCTGAGTACAAGAGATGTAGAAATAATTAAGTATAAGATCCTATTCTGGGGGTGCTCGTGGCCGATGAGGGCACGGCCGACGAGGGCATGGCCGACAAAGACCCAACCGACGAGGTCACCCGGTTCTCCTGGCTCTTGGACCGTATTCTGAGTAGACTTCTTTCTGGTCGATGGAGGTCATATGGCCGACGAGGGTCCCACCAGGTGATCGTGGTACCTTCTGTTCTTCCGAGTATGTGGGTCATGGGGTCCAGACTCATATACTCCATCAGGAGTCCCCCACTCTCTGAGCTGAGACGTAGACGAAGTGAGGGAGAGTAGATTCCATAGTTTTGAGGTTTTCTGGCCGTTATGGGATTCTTCCTTGTTTTTAGACGTTATGGGCACCCCTTGACCTGGCTCCTTGTCTTTTGGCCGCCGTGGGTACTCACCGTTCTGGCCGTTGTGTGGCTTTCGCTGTAGATGAAGAGGGACCCAGTCATGATGTGTATTTTCTATTTAAGGACATGGAGTGTCTTTGCTTGGTGGGGACGATGAGCGTCCTCTGTCACGAATGGCCGATGAAGGTTATGCCCATTCCTGACAGTTGATGGCTGAATTTCGCGCTTTGGGCCGAGGAGGCCCTTGTGGTTATCTCTTGTTTGAGGATGATGGGTGTCCTTTTGTTTCCGGGTGGTCGGTGAGGGTGTTGTTTGCCTTGTTTGGCCGCTGAGGCTCTCACTTTGGGCCTTTGGTCGAGGAGTGGTGGTATTCGTAGCTTGGTGTCCATGTTTTTGAGGACGATAGCGGTACTGATCTGGGAGGAGTGTTGCGCATCCTGATCTTATGGGCGATGGTGATTCAGGAACGTTGAGTTCCTGTTCTTTGATTCCTGGCCGAGAGCGGGGTATGTGGTCTCAAAGCCGGTAAGTGCCATGTAATCTCAAGTGTTGCACTTGGAGGGAATTCTTTGTTCGCGACTTTGCCGCGGCCGATGGTGCACGACAAGGTTATGGACGTTGTGGCGCATATATGATCTGATGTTGTAGTTGTGGACTTGGTTTATTTTTGGGTTTGATTTTGTCCTGACTTTCAAAGGTCGGTGCAGTCCCCCAGTCCCCCACTGCTTCAAGCCGAAGAGTAGGTGAGGGGTGAAGGAGTAAAGGATTTGCCCTGGCCGGAGCGGACTCTTGTATTTCCCTGAATCCAATTCCTTGGTGATTTCCTGATCAAGGTAACCCTGTGGGAGAACCCTTGGACGCAGGTCGCTTTCAAGAAATTATCATCAGGGTTTTACACAAGGCCGACGGCGTGGGGTTTCTTTTTGCTTTTACCGTTGTGGCCGTTGAAAAGGCCATGCAATTGGCATTCTATTCAAGCCGATATGGACACACCTTGAGATGTGACCTGCCCTTTTGAAGTTATCTGTGTTGAGGCTGATGTAGGCACGATTTCTTAGCGTGGCCGTTGAGTGGTTGGGCTGTTGGCGATAAGCTGGTATTGTGGAAGTGGGCCTGACCCGTCTTCTGAACCGGTGCCAGCCCAATGGGCCTCAGGGGTGGTGGCCGTTCATGTGGCCAATGGGAGGTTGCCACGTGTAGTGACCGTTGGGGGGTCTATAAATACCCCCCCCCCCCCTCCGAAGAGGTTCCTCATTGCATTCCTGAGATAACGAAGTGCTGCCAAATTTTCTAGAGAGAGAGAGCCTTTCCGTGTGTTCTTCCGTTCTTCAAAACTTCAAAGGTGAGTTCGTCGAACTTTTCCCAAATTACTTGTGTACTTTGCTTATTTTAGCTTTTGATCCGCTGTTAGTGGAGAAACACCCTTAGATCCAAAGTAAAAACCCTTAGGCTTTAGTTAGTTGTTATGATGAAGCCCTTGAACGACGAGTACTATCCATATGATGATGAGCCCTCTGCTAAATCCCTTGATTACCGGGTAGTTGAGGAG